CTTTCACTCTGTTTCCCAAGCATAAGATAGAGTTCATCAGAGTTTGGCCCAGACTTTGGAAATCTATTTTACAGCAAGCCTCTCATCCCATTTTCAGGAGACACTTCAGCACCAAAGAGACTAATTACTTTACTGCCTGCCCATAAGGCTTTATCTCTTGAATGCCCACTTCATTTTTGGCTCACTGGGAAAAAAAATTATGTATAAGTCTTAGCTGGGTGAAAGATGCCAAGGACTACATGCTACTGTTTGACAGGATGTGGCAGGATACTTCTATGGCTACAGCAGGTCTGTGTGTTATAAGAGACAGCTCTGTAGTAAGAAAGATTATGTGTTTAAATAATCCTTGAGTACTTGCCCACGGCACTGAACCAGGCAGAGCCCTGTGCTGCTGTGCTAAACTGTAGCACACATTCAATGATTGGACATGATCATGGTGTGACTAAGGGGCTGTGCAGCAGGGCTTGTAACACAGCAGCTAAGACCACCCCCTCCTCACCCTCCATATGACTGTAAAATTAGATCTGCTGTCAGGAAGAGTATTACATTTTGCAGTGTTGATGTATAGCCAGTTCACATCCCCGTGGCAAACTAATCCTGTCTATTGATAAGCATGTTTAACTTATAATGGGGATAGTTCTTCTAAGAAGAGCTGTAGAAGCTTGCAGTGATCCAGTTGTTTTATCTGAAGGTAGGCAGATCGGAGCAATTCACAGATTTGGGGTTTGGTGGGAGTTGTTTTGCTTTGATTTGGTTTCAGGCCAACTCACATCAGCAGTTCTGGTCTACGCAAGGCCCCCAGGCTACAATGACTGAGTCTGATCCATCCTGAGTTCTGTGGTCCTATCAGGAAAGTGAAACAGCTTTTGTTATGCAAAGCAGAAAGTAGCTGCCTTAACAACCAAAAAAGATCTCCCATTCAGTAATGTTCAACCAAGAGCCTGTATCAGAATAAAATAATAAATTGTGACTATTTTTTCCTTGGCACTGGATTATCCATGCTTCCTGTGGTTGCCACAGCATCACCCCCTGATGTCATAGCTCCCTCCCTGTTTAAGATTCCCTGACCAGCATTGCCAGAAATCCTGTCTGTCCTAATCCTCTTGACCTTACTTGACATGATTGAAACTGTGTCTGAGTAAGAGGCATGGTCAATGTCTCCAGGGAATAAGTTCCTCTTTAAAGCAGGTACAGATCTTACCACTGCTTCTTAATGAATGGTTCGGCATCGGTGCTTCTCTGTTTCAAATATAAGCATTAATTTAAGAGTGTAGGAGCTATGGCAGCCTCAGACACAGAAATCTGACTCATCCCAGCTGCACTCTGTGCATGTAGGTCATATGAAATGCCATCCTTTAGAATGCACAATGCCGTATATTAATTTCAAGGGCCAGTGATTGCTGCTTTTCATGTATTCCCTGGGGACGAGACGAAGTAAACTAGTTCATAATAAGCTTTAATTAAACAGAAACCTAGACATTGCCCTACTTTTCCAAACACCAAGAAGAGTGAGTCATATTTCCTCCAGGCAAGTTACTATTTTCCACACCAAGTACATATAAGGTGTCTCCAGAACTTGTTATCTCAGGATTTCACTTTCATTTCATGTCTGTGCTCAGACCTTACAGGGGCAAGGTCAGACCTTACAAAGGTCTGAGCACAGCTAAGCAAAGCCATGGTTTTAGCTCAGCCATGGGATATTTCTCACTACTCTCTGAACCACTTTGGGATTTAAACAGGTGAAAACACAGTGAAACAAAACAAAAAAAAAACCCTACTCTTGGTGGGCTACCCTTTAGTGGCCTGAAATGTTGCGTTCTTAGAGAACATTCTCAAGGCCCTGTGCCAAATTCAGCCCCAGGACAAACAGTGAAGACATGTTTAACTGGTAAGTGGTTGGGCTCTGCCATGTGGCTTCAGTGGAGTCACTTTGAATTTAACCTGGTGCTCCTGAGCTGAATTTGATCCAGAGACGCCAAATGATGTATCCCAAACTGCATGTCTGAGACATCAAAAGAGGCAGGAATTTAAGACAGATGTTTTCTTTTGCAACCCCAGAGCTGCCTTCAGCCCTCCAGGGCTAGTGACCCTTGTGTACCAAACTCAAGAGCCTGATCCCACTGAACAAAATGGAAAAACTTATGATCATAGAATATCCCAAGTTGGAAGAGACCCACAAGGATGATCAAAGACAGATCAGAGTTTGACCCCATGCATAAATGACAATACTTTTCCCCTGCCTGACCCTGCAAACACAGACCCCATATGCACCACAGGGGGTACCTCAGCCATAATGATCCACACACACAGAAGGTGCAACACGCCATATATTTCAATTTGCACTTATTACCTCTTATCTGTTCATATGATTTATTTTTCTGCTCCCCCTCCCCACAGCAAACTGTCTAGTGATGAGTACACAAAATGCCCTTTTGTCACCAGTCAGGTGTCAGTTGAGGTACCTGATCTGTCTGCCTAGGTTTATCTCTGGATTCATTGGCAGGAATAAAAGCTTCTTTATTAGCAGGAATATGACAGGTCTAAAAAAATAATCTGAGATTTACCTCCAGCTTTGGTCAAACAATTGCACAGTAAAAACAGACCAATGTTGAGTGAAAATTATTTGCCCTGCAAAAGTAGTTCCAAAATAATCAACAGCAACTATGGCTCTGGCAACAATTGATATCAGATTTGGAATAACATGGGTCATTCAGGACAAACTTGAGAAAATGCTTTGGTCTTGTCAGAGAAACAGGTCTCCAAATAATAAGGACCAATGTTTCAGGCTCTCTGGATATGCTGAATGAGGTGTACATCCTCATCTAGTTTATCAATACTGAAATTATCTACTTGGATTTTATTATTTATTGATTAATCCAACGTGAGATCTAAGCTCACAAAAAACTAATATCGCTAAATACTTCAATCCTTGATCCTCATGTCTGTGCGGCAAGAAGGAGAAAGTGAACCCCCTTCTTCCAAAACATGATGCATTTACCACTGCCAAAGGCTCCATCCCTAAACTAGAGGAACTGAGGTATGAGCCAGTCCAGCAGTTTCCATCTCTCTGTGCAACACTTCATGAACACAAGTGCCAGGTAACTTTCCTTCACCCTCCTGCACTGTCAGGAAAACCATTGAAAGAAGGTGAAAATTAAGGTTTTCTTTATCTAACACTGACAATCACAGGGTGGAAAACAGTGTGTGTGGGGGGAGAAACTTGCTATTCAAAAATCAGCAAATTTTTGAAATAAACTGTGTGAAATATCTGGAAATGTATGGTCAAGCTGCCATTACCATTGCCATTCTCTAACAGGGCAAGAGTATATTGTAAATGTATTTAGAAAGTTACATTCCCAGCCTAAACTTTATAAAAGTATTGGTTTGGTTATAAAAATACCTTTCACTGAATTTCAGTACAATACTTTCTCTCCTTAGCTCAGACGATTTTCTGAAAGGAATGTGTTTTATTTGTTTAGAAAGTTTCATTCTATTTAGCACTTTTCCAAACATTTGTTCAATCCCTCCTTAATTTCACATGGAATTATGCATCCACACCATCCTTTAGCAAGGAACCCCAGGAAGTTATACCCATACTGTCAGAAAATAACCACCCCTTCTGTGTGCTCTGAACCTTGTTCCTTCACCTGATGCTCCCTTTCAAGTTCTTCCATTGGAAGATCAACAGACAATCCCTATTGACACTTTATGTCATGCACTCTATCAAATCTGCCCACACCTTACCTTTTGCTAACCTAGATCCTTCTTTGTGTAGAAGTTATTCTATGTTTCTAACTTGATTCCCAGGGTACCTGTTCCACTGCATGTAATGTAGCTTAAAAATTTAAAAATATAGGAAATTACATTATACTAGAGTAATTACCATTAAAAAAACCCCACATTGTTTATTTCAATGTTCTTCCTTGAGAGTAGTTTTCAATAAACAACTGTACTTTTTCTCCTCTGTCCTAAAGTCATCTAGTAAAATATTATAAAAATATACTTGGAGTTGTACACTGAAAAATGAGGGAAAATAAAGGAAAATACCAATCCTTTGAACCAGCCTTTGTTGGTACAGTCTACCCATGCATTTCAAGTCAGAAATCCTGAAATAACAGAAATCCATACACCAAACAAATTTCTTGGTCAGTTCACAGGCAGAAAGTTTGTCAGGAATAAAATGGTATCTTCCTTCCTTAACCATACAGTGTAATATAATTTATGGAGCTGTTGTAAATCTGTAGGGAAAACATTTGTGAGAGACAACTGATTGAGATTTGAGGAGGGTTGTTACTATTACGATTTGTTTAATAAAGTGTATGTGGCAGAGAACATAAGGAAGTGATGTCGGTGCCGTTCTCCACAAAATAAAAAGGTGCCCAATTTTAAACAGGGGGACCAGGTATTTTGAGTTTCAGTATCCACACGGGAATAAAAAAAAAAAATTCCCAGAGGAAGCTAATTAAATATTCTCTCCACCTCCTTCGCCTTATTCATTCTCTCCGTTCTTTCAATTGGCGGGGTCCCATGGCGACCATCGTGGGAGAGAAGCATCCTCTTCAGCTGCCGCTCCTCGCCATGGCAACCGGGACGTCAGCCGCCGGCAGCCGAGCCCCGCCGCAGGGCCCCGGGTGCCCTGCGCTGCTCCCCGGGCCCCTGCCGGGCCGGCCCATACCCGGGTGCCCTGCGCTGCTCCCCGGGCCCTGCGGGCCGGCCTATACCCCGGGTGCCCTTGCGCTTGCTCCCCGGGGCCCTGCCGGGCGGCCCATACCCGGGTGCCCTGCGCTGCTCCCCGCCCTGCGGGGCTGGGCCGGGGGACAGCGGTCGTGCCCGCCCCGTCGGGGGCGCGGGGCGCTGTCCGCGGTGCTGGAGGTCCCGGCAGGCAACGGACCCCGACGGGGAGGCGGGAGGAGAGCCCCGGGTAGCCGGGTCCTGGTGGGGGGACAGACACATGATCGGCATCCCACATGACACAGAAAGGAACTGAGCGGCAGCGTCATTTTTCCTCCGTTAAAGAAGAGGGGCAGGACACCCCATCCCTCCCCGCTCAAGCGGCTTTGCAAACATCTGGGCAGAGACAGCTACAGACGTGAGGATACACCGTGGTTCCCAGTATGACTGGGACCTTTCCAGAGGTGCCTTCACTTGGGATAACAGGCAGAGTACGGAGGAGACCAGCGCCTCTGGGACTATGCTTTGGAGCAGGTATGTGGATGGATAGGTGCTGTGCTGAACACTGCTGTAGCTAAAGGGATAGTTCTCCCCGTGGAGACAAATGAGATGATCTTTTCCAGCAATTTATCTTATGCATATTTACTTACACTCATTTAAAACCCTTGGGGTTTGGCAAGGAGGACTCATTCCTCAGGAGAAAATGCTCTGTGGGGCTTGAATTTTAAGCTTATTCTGCTGAAAGCAGAGAGATGTGTAGCATGACTAGAGAATAACTCCCTATATGTTCTGCACAAATCTACGTTCTCCATAGCTATATTCATTATTTTTCAATTATGCTACTTATTTGTTTAAAACAATCCCCTTACATCATCAGTTTAATGGAAGCAGAAAATTACTTTTGCGGTAATGGAGAAAACCAATCTGCTCATCTGTTTTTTTCTGTCTCTAGATACATTCAAATAGCTTCTTCTTTCCTCTAAAACAGCTGGGTTTGTATTTTTCAGTCATTAATTTGAAATCATCCTTTCTGAAAACGTTGTTTCCCTTTTTCTGTGTGGGTGCCTGGATGCAGCTACTTAGGGAAACACCACAGGTACAGCAATCTTTGCTTATTTGTAGCCAGCACAGGAAAGGGAGCTATTCTGGTTTTACTAGTTCAGACACATATTCTCTAAGAATCCATAGCAATATTTCTCATTTTTCCAGCTGGCTTCCAGTACATCAAACAGTATGCTGGCTCCACAGAGTAATGGAGAAGCAAAACTGCCTTCTACTTTCAAAAGACCATTTGTGTGTATGAGGCAGGATTCATAGCCAGTTCTTTCTGGCTAAGATTTTAAAATGTGATTCTTGAAGATCTGTTGTTAAAGTCACTGTTAATCACTTTAAAAAGTGTCTTGGTTTGCAGAAAAACTGGTTGCCAATCCAGAGGCATCCTTAAAAGCTGATCTGTATTTGGGTGTCTAAATATGGATTTTTGGAAACTTGATTTATGAGTAAGCTTGATTTATGATTTATTTTAAGCATGCTGGTCTCAGATGAGTCAGTAAAGGGAGGAATTTCTACACCTTAGACACGTTTGGGGAGCTCTGCTCCTTATCTTAAAGTAAGAGCTTGCAGACTCTTACTCCCCCACAGTTCTCCTGTGAAGCCTCTGTTTGCAAAGCTGTGCAGTGCAATTATCCTATCTGGGCCACACCGTATGATCTCCATCTGCATTTTCCTTTGCAGCCCCACCAGGCATCCTATCTCAGGTGTTTAACAATTTGGAAAGCAACTTCAATCAGACAATGCAGAACAAACCCCTCACATCCTCAAGTGGAATCTACTCACCCTACTCACCACAGACAGTTGTCCCAGTGCCAAAACATGACACAGAGCTTGTGCACTTGGGATTTATTCATTCCAGCAGCTTCCATAATTCCCTAGGCTTCCCCTCTGACAGGCAGCCAACACAGTTCTTGCAATTGGCACCCTGTCCATGAAGATATCTCCAGTTCAGGGCTTATCAGCAGGTTGACATCTTGCCTCAGTGGCTTGTCCTAGGCTGCTTTTGTCCTCCTTGAGTCTAGTTCAGCTGAGAAAACCCCTTCCCACAATCATCTCCACATCAGGCATTTCCAGTTTAACTATAGGCTTTGCATGGCCTTCAGCCTCCCAGTTTCTCCAACAAAGCAACTATAGGCAGACTATGAAATGCTCTCACTAATCACCATGTTCTCTGGCAGAGACTTGTGGGAATGTTGTTCTATTGCTCATTCAGGTCTCCTCCTCTTATTCCTATCAGATAAGTCCTCTTGGAAGCATCTTAGGATCTCTGGCAGCCCTAATTATTAGTCACCACTGCCACCCCACTCTCTGTCACTGTGTCTGGCACAGGTGACCTGTGTCATGTGAGCACAGTTCCATGTTATTGAGAAGAGTCAAGAGACATATGACAGACAGTCTCACATCCCAACACAAATGTTTGAACCAGTGCAAAAATCCTGCTGCCATATTAACTTTTCGTGCGATGAGAAAGCAATTTTCACAAGATTTAATATCAAGAGTTCCTTTCTACATGACCTTTCCGTACAAAAGCAACAAAAAAAACTCCTGAGGTTCTCCTGGGAGAAGAACTTGTGCTCACTGATAGCACGAGGGTGCACTAAGCTGGTGAAGTCCTCACTGTAGCTGCTGGCACATTTTCCCTGCTGGGAAGAGGACACTCAGTGGGGAGAGGGTGAGAATTTCCAAGAGATGGGAATTAAAATCAGCCAAGAGCGAGATTCACCACTGCTTATCTGTCAGCACCCACCATGGCAAACCACCCCTGGTAAGCACTGCGTTCCTCACATCACACAGAAGAGTGTGCTGTGTTGTAGGCAGGGCCTGGCACTGCCAAAAATTAGTGCAAGTATGTGGGAGAGAGCATCTATTTTTTTACCTCTGAATCAGGAAAGGGTACATCCTAGACACGTCCAAGGACAAACTCAACCCCCGTTAAAGGGGACCAGAAGCCTCTAAAGTTTTATTTCAAGCTTCTCTACACTCTTCTTGGACAATTTCAGTAGGTGGAACCTATTCTGACAGGAGACTTGGAAATTAGGTTAGTCACTCTTCTCCACTTTTTCATTCCCCCACAGTCACACTGGGCACAGATCTGGGTTCTGCTCTCATTTTTAGAACAGTGCTAATCTGGAGTTTTGCATAGTAGTCACAGCAGTAGGAAGGCAGAATAAAGCTTTGAGACATTTAAACCTGTGGGTCTTTCCTTCAGGGAAGAAGAGTTAAAACCTTTGGGTCTTTCCTTTGGGGAAGAACAGTTACTTCTATAACAGGAGACTCGAACCCTTGTGTACATGTTTGTAAACTGTGTTACACAGGTTTGCCCATGAGGTAGTAACCAGAGCACCATTCTCTCTTTATCCCTTAAGATTAGCCAGACTAGGCTGTGGACAAGAGCAGAGGAGACAGGTGGAAGGAACAGGCAGTCCAAAGGTCTTGGCAAACCCAACAACTCTTTTGGCAGAGCCTGTGTCTGTGGAAGGATGGTTGTGTCCTGCCTGGGTCTTACAGAAAACCCTACCCTACAGCTACTGCAGGAATAACTTCTCACTGCAAGTGGCCCTGCCTATCTCTCCAGAAAGACCTCCTTTCTACAGATCTGAGTGTTGCCAACCTCATGTGTCCTTCAGCAGAGCCTTGGTTGAAGAGAGTTACAGCTGTTACCTCACTCTAGTGAGGGTCTGTGTCTGGGTAGTATTGAGCACAAATCTGGCTCATATTTCACCACTGTCTGTCCCTGAACCAGAGCATGATGTTGGGTATAAGTGGAATCTGTAGTTACTGTAAGGGCTCCTTCTCCCTACCAACAGAGAATAAACACCTTGGGGTTTAGGTGCACAAATAATTACTGGGTCTTAGCAGCTCATCTCAGGTTAATAGTCCTGCAGTGACTTCTGGTATGTCAGTTTTAACCCAGAGAAAATACATGAGAAAAATTCATTGACTTCAGATGCAGGAAAATGCCATTGCTCCTAGAACCTTTAAGACCAGAATGAGCTTCAAGACATGGCAACGTCTATTAAGGAGACTAAGCCAATATGCAGTGACTTGTGACTCAAACAGGTTTGAGTCCTGCTTGTTCATCAAAGTCATGCCTTGTGGATATGCCCTGAACCCAGTGCTACAAGCCTGCTGCCAGAGTAGTTACTCCAGATGTGAGCTAACAGACCCAGAAGCAACAGATGGACCCTGTTCTTGTTCTAGTTTGTTACTGCATATCTCACCCATTACTAAGGTCAGTTAAAAGGGTGAAGCTGAAAAAGGATTCTTCCTCAAGCAGCCAGTACAAGAAATGTAAATTGATCCAAATCTCAGCAAGTGTTGCAGTATTATATCCTTGTCCTCAGTTTTAATACCTTATGAAAATAGTCAGAACTTGAAGAGTCAATGAAGGTTGATGGCAAAGAGGCTGCCTAGTTGCCCTTAATTTCCTTAAGCATAGAGCAAAAAAAGTCTTGTTTAGATTCATGCTTATGCAGTAGCCAAATATAACATATATTCTGTAGATGTGCTAGAAATTAAAACATTTCCTTCTTTTATTTGATTCCATCCATACTTCCTGCTCCCACGACCTCACCCCGCAATACAGGCTTGCCCCTCAGATCCTGATACAAGATGCAGTAACACATATCAGCTTACATAGTCAGTTCAGGTCAGAAGCTTTTACTGAAAGCTGAGCTGTGTCCACACCAGCACTGAAAGCTTCATCCATGAACCCATCCACAGTTACATCATCTTTAGCTAGGCATGCTGCAGGATAAGAATCTCCAGCAGCTGGGTGAAGCTCAGGAGCAGACAGCAGCATATGAGATATGGGTATGGATCTCAAAAGTTTTACTGAATTCAAAACACTTTATTCTCCTGATAAAATAGGGGCAGATGTTTTCTATCCTCATGCGTTGGAATGCAGAGAGTGGGGGAGAACACACTTCACCTGAAGAGATTTTAAGCTTTGCTCAGAAAAGCTGCCCAGATAAAGGAAAAGCCTTCGTCAGAGGAACAGGGCAAATAGCTGAGCATTTTTATGAGCACTGGACCAGAGAAAAGAACTGGCAGGGAAATGGTGTACTCACAAAAGCATGTGTATCTGCATTCCTTCACTGGAAGCAGAAGTACTAAATGGCCTCAATATGCACACAGTCATCTCCACATAGCAAGACACTGAGAGAGACTGCGCTCTTCTATAACGGGATTTTTACACTGACACAGTGAGCACACAGGGTAGGTAATTTGAATTTAGGCAGGGATGAGTGTCACCTTCTAGCATCTTACAGTCAGACAAAAGCCCTCTCTCCCCCATTCTGGTTCAACTTACTCACTTTTCTGATGTTGATTAAACTCGGTTAGATGAAGCATTTCTCTTCCAGTCTGGCAGCTATTCCCAAGATACTCTTCAGAGAGGGAAGTTTATGGAGTAAATGACCAGTTTAATGCTTTTGAAATAATTTTCTGGGCCAATGTTTGCCTGGTGTTTTGCAGTTATGATGCAGAGAGGCAAAATATGTTGAATAAAAAAGCCCCTCTGCTAGTGCTAGGTCAAGTAATGTGCTAGGATCAGTTTCTTTAGCTGCCTTTTTAATCCTGAAAACAGTAGCTGGCAAACAAAGTCTTTATTCTTTTGATTAATCATAAAAAGAACCCCAAAGCAACAAAACATTTATTGCATTCTTTTGTGAATCTCATTAGGTTTTGCTCTTCCAAATTGCAGTGGACACTGCACTTGTAGATAGGACAGTAAACATGCAAACACACAGTAACTATGCCGTATGAGTTTTATGCAACAGCAAAGTATATGTGGTGGTGATTTCATGAAGTTCTTGTAGCTCAAATACTTAATCTCTAAGTAACAGATCTGTTTTGGAGAGTTAGCTATCAACCCAAAGGGATAACCCTGAAAATGGAGAGATTTGGTTTCCAAACTGCAAATTAAGGTCAATAAAATGGAACTGTGGCACAAGGAAATCTCTCTTTGATAATTATGAGTCATTTCATACGCCCTTTCTTTTGCCAAGCAAATGCGCATAAAGTAGGTTTTAAAACAGAAATACAGAAAGTCCTTGTATCAGTTTTAAAAGGATTCCCACTCTAAAATGTTTGAAAGACAAAGTGAGGGAAAATTATTCAAAACGTTTTTGGTAACTAAAAATGTAATTAGGCCTCACATATTCACTATATGTAATTTTTACTTCTTGTGTTTCTAAATTTCTGCTTATTGACCTGCAAGGCAGAGAGAGGTGACAGAGCTCATCACTGTTTTTTACAGATCTGATACTCATGAGTTGAATGGCTCACTAACACTTAAAACATATTTCAGTAAACAGTGCAGCAAACAGGAACATGGGAATTGAGGATAAATAATGTAGCAAGTTACAGAATCTTCAGGTATTTGCATTCTAGACCATACAGAGTTGTGCATTTGCTGAGGTTTCATGGTCATGGTTCCTTTTGGAACATTACTTATAATGCAGAAGTTCAAGTCTCCACTATAAAAACCAGACTTTCCTACAGAAGAAAAATCTATGTTGGGCCATAGATTCTAAGGTTCTTAGTGCTAAATCAGGGCATGATTCTGATCTCAGTGCCACCTAGGGAAAATAGGCTTGAGTAGAGATCCTTTAATATAAAAGGCATCAGCTTCTGATCCATTTGAAAGAAAAATTATCTATGACTAAGAATGCAGAAATCTCAGAGCACATTGGTTAATTAGATAGCATTTACTTTTTAAAAAAATAAAACAAATAATTGCTGTACAACAAGAGAAATCTTATGCTCAAGTTAGTTAAACTCCCTACAGTTACACCTGTACCTTGTGGGCAATGTGCTGAATGATCCTGAATTTTTCCGAGGAAGAAAGAATCACAAAATATAGTATTACTTGCACATGTGTTTGGTACCTCTTCTGTTTTACTCACAGTGAGGAAACTACCACCTCCAGAGTCGCATAACCAGATATTTTACCTCTCAACACAAGAATGATCTTTGGTGAAGGGTGGCACATGGAACGGGCTCTTCAGCTCATGTATTGCTTCCTCTGCCAGCAAAGCTCTAGCACAAGACAGCTGGATACACCTCTTGCCATTCTCTCTCCTCTGTAGGCACCCACTGGTTAGCTCTCCATACATTTCTCTGGGTGGGTCACATACTGTTCCCAGCTGAAGCTGCTGCATTCCTGTCTTCTCAAAGGCATGTTTGCAGTAACCCACGTTTTCCAGTCAACAGTGGTTGGGCTGACTTTTAGGCAACATACATCAGGAAAAAAGTACTATTTGAGTACTACAACCCTATAACTATTCTCGGTTTTACCCACCTGCATAACTAAACGTTTCAGGTCTGAACAGACACGGAGAGCAGATTTGCCCCACAAGGAGAAATATAATGAAAACAGTGTTAGCGAGCGAGTCTGCATATTTTAACAGCTTAAGAAGGTCATTGCATTCTTGTATCAGACTCTTCAGTACTGGTCAAGAAATTTTATCCGGTTATTCTTCTATGAAGCTTTATTTGTAGCTGGTTATTTTTAATGGCACATACTTCTGCACAGCAAGAAGGGAAATCAAGGAAGAAAATTAGCCTATAATGTTCTTTTCTATCTGGTTAATAGGTTCCGCGTGTATTATTTTATGACAGATAATTCTAACACATAACTGAGTGGGTTGTACTGTCAATGCATCCTGCCACTCTGCCAAAGATAGCAGCCCAAATGCCCTGCCAACAGCTGATGACAGCAGGATATCTCCAGGGGAGCAGATCCACCTGACAGAGGATGGTGAAAGACAAGTAGGAACTCTTTGAGAAGTCAGGAATCATCTGCCAGGCAAAACCAGCAAGAAAACGATGAGGGAAGGCAATTAAGGAGGAGGGGGAAGGCAAGGCCAGGCTGGGCAGCACCCACAGCCCTCCAACAGAAGAGGGGACAAGGGGCAAAGTATGATCTGCTGATGGACCCCCTTGCAGTTGACAACTCAACCACCACTTCTCAGTCTCACTACTGACATCCCCCCAGTGTTATTCTGGCACGAGGGTGACATGCAAATATTCTTTGTTTAACCAGCTCCACTGAAACAAAACCAGTTGTTACTACCCTCAAAGCGTTTCAGATACAAGTCATGCATGTCAAGATGATGACTGAAAGGACATCAGATTGCAGCAAGGTGCTTGTACACATATAGCCACTAAAATTAGCTGTTTTCCCATTTTGTCCTTGCAATAGTCTAAGACCAACCCAATCATCTGGCTAAATTCAAGACTGGAAATTCTGTCTGTTAATATATGCATTCTTGTCTCTTGTTTCTCGAAACAGGAGGTCATACCTATCACATTCTGTGGTGTGTCTGTCATGAAGGTACAGTAAAACATCTTCACACAGATAATGCACTCAGACAAACTTTAATTCTCAAGCAATGAGAGATTAACAGGTTCTAGGTTTGGTGTTACCAGTTGGGGATATTATTACTGCACAGACAAGACCAATGACCCAAAGTGTGCCTGTGCTCGCACACATGCTAAAGGCCTGTCCTTCTTCTGAGGGGATGGTGCTGGTAGTGAGAGAACTCAATCCCAGGAAGTCTCCTTTGATGGTATCCCAACCCCAAGGGAAGGGCTTCCCACCACAGACATGCTGCTCCAAGGAAAACCACACAAAAAAGGTGGTTTCCAGGGGGGTCTCATTTATAACCTGGTCCAGTCAGGGGTTGTGGGCATACATGGCGATGGTCCAGAACATTCTCTGGGCTGAGGCTTCTCGTTGCCTGGGGACTTCATGTGTTGACCAAGCAGTCCTGCCCTTCTCCTTCCCCCCACCAAGGCAGTGATGGGGTGGGGCTGTAAGGCACAAAAACAAGGACATGAAAGGCTGGCAGCCACTACATATCAGTGAGGGGGATGGGGTAGGGTGCTCCTTACACAAAGGACCAGCTACAATACGATCCCAGCAGCTGTATTTCAGTGTTAACTCAAAAATAGAGAAGTCACATGAGCATCCACACAGTGTATATTTCTGCCAGTTTCTATGAAATTAAGGTATACTACTGAGAATTCTCCTGTGTTGCTTAAGGTGGGCTTTTCACACAGAGCTGTTGAAACCTTTTCTCTCCTTTCTTTTTGCAGCCTGAGCAAAAGACATGGCTGAGTTTGCCCAAAGCATGGATAACAGCAGCAGTCCTTTTCTTCTCCCTACCTTACTGCTCCTGCTGCAGAACACGAGCAACCCCAAAACCTCCATCCCTCCTGCTGGCTATGAGATGACAGAATCGTCACCCACAAGACCCGGCTCAAGCAGGAACCACACTCTCTTAGACTACGGACTGAGGCCGGGGGAAATTGCAGCAGCCAGCATGGTTTGGGGAGTGTTGTGGCTGGTTTCTATCTTGGGAAACTTCCTTGTCTGCTTAGTGATCCACAGGAGCAGGAGGACACAATCCACCACCAACTATTTTGTGGTCTCCATGGCTTGTGCAGACCTGCTCACCAGTGTTGTGAGTGCACCCTTCCTGCTGCTCCAGTTGACCTACGGCAGGTGGATGCTGGGGAATGGGATGTGCAAGCTGGTGAGGTACATACAGTACCTCACCCCAGCAGTCCAGATCTACGTGCTCTTCTCCATAGGCGTGGATCGATTCTACACTATTGTCCATCCCCTGAGCTTCAAAGTGTCCAGGGAGAAAGCCAAGAAAATGATTCTGGCCTCTTGGCTCTGTGGTGCTCTGTTTGCATCACCAGCTTGTTTTCTCTACAGCTCCAACAGTGACCACCACTGCAACTTTTTTCTACCCAATTCTTGGCAAGGAACTGTCTATAGTATCACCCACCTCTCGGTGGTGTTTTTGATCCCATCCCTCCTCATTATCCTCTTTTACAAGAGAGTAATTAAGTACATTTGGAGAATAGGCACAGATGGAATGACTGTCAGGAGGACAACAAATATTGTCCCAAGAACAAAAGTGAAAACCATCAAGATGTTCTTAATGTTAAACTCGATATTTCTCTTGTCCTGTCTCCCTTTCTACATGGTACAGCTGTGGCACCCACAGGAAACAGACTACAGAAAGAGCTCCTTGGTTTTCCTGGCTATTACCTGGATCTCTTTTAGTTCCTCAGCCTCTAAGCCAACCCTCTACTCCATCTATAATGCAAACTTCAGAAGGGGGATGAAAGAAACTTTTTGCATGTCTGCCATGAAATGCTACAGAAGCAATGCATACACCATCACCACCAGTTCCAGGATAGCAAAAAAAAATCATGTTGGTATTGCAGATATTCCAGCGACGGCCAAAAGTGTCACCAAAGACTCCACCTATGACGCTTTTAACAGAGAAGCCAAGGAAAGAAAGCTTGCCTGGCCTATTCCATCCAATCCCCCAAATACATTTGTCTAGTGGACTTCATTGCTTTGAAAAGTTACCTTGTAGTCCCAGAAGAAGTAGTCTTCTCTCCTTTTTGAACCAATGTATAGTTACATATTTTTAACACAGGTTTTAGGAGGGAAAAAAGAGATGTTTTATTTTATTAAATGCTTTGGGTTTGATGTATTTGTTCTATTTCATTTCAGTTATCATGTTCTGCTTTGGGGAACTCCTCTCCTGGAACCACGAGCAATGCTCTTCTACAAAACAAGAGTCTTTATACTCTCTATCTGTAGGGAAAAAAGGGAAAGAAAAAATACTGTTTATATTAATCCCCACACAAGATGGGCCACAGTATATAAATACCTAAATCCACCCAAAGCCATCTAAACTTCCTTCTGTTATGTCTCTGTGAATACCATTGCACTGTGGCTGTCCCTCATGTTGAGACCCCACAGGTAAGATGTCCATACATGGGCCCTGTTGGCCTCAGCCTGAGCCTACTGACCTCATCAGTGGCAAAATTCCCACTGCCCCAGCAGGGTCAGCATTGGGCCAGCCCTGGATGCCTTTGCATCTCTGTCCTCGTGCCTCTCCAGAGGTCTCACAGTCCAAACTGCCCAAGAAAATTCCCCTCCTTGGTCTCGTCCTTCCCTCCTCCTCTCAAGCTGCTTCTGCACCCAGCCTGGTGCACCCACCCAGAAGCTGGGGCTGGGCACAGCCACGGAGCAGACCTGCTGAGCAAAAGGAGCCATGTGTGTGACAGGCACCCAGGGCCTTCTCACATCTGAAACTGAGTGTGTTCCCTGGCCTGCATCCCTTCTGCTGAGGCACAGCTGTGGCACTGCAGCAAAGAGTGGTCTTTCCCAAACACGAGCAGGAAAACGAGCTCTGCGGTCCCACGCTTGCCTGACGGCATCCTCCACAGGGGTGTGTTCGAAGAGGTCCCTAATAGGTGTCCCAGAAGGGACAACCTGCCTGGGAGCTGTGGATGTAGGTGGAGGCAACTCCCACTGCTCATTCTCTGCCAGCACTGTCCCAGTGGGACTGGCTGGGGCTTCAGTCCTGCTGGGAAGAGGAACAACACCAGCTGTGCGAACTGGAGACCAGTGGAGAGAGGCAGGAGCTTCTTTGTACCACCCTGCCTGCCACAACAGTGACAAACTCATGAGAAGTGGGCACATGCTGTGCTACAGGCTGGGGGAAGAGTGGCTGGAAAGTTGCCTGGTGGAAAAGGACCTGGTGGCCAGGACTAGGAAAAATTTCTTCAACCGAAGTCATCTATACTTCCTGAAACAGAGGGCATTTTTTTTCCTTTTTTCTTTCCCCCAGTTGTCAATCTCATTAATAGGAATTGGACTGAGTCTGTGTGGGAAATATTGATTTTTTTTTCCTCAGTTCTTACTGTGTTGCCCAGAGGTACAGTAGAACACCCTCAGAAAACACAGATAACTACATATCCACTAAATTAAGTCAGCACTGGCATCTGGTTGGTGAATTCCCCTTACTCTGTTGGATCCATGTGGTCCTGTGCGCTGTAGCCCTGGAAGGTTTAGCCCAGGCTGCCGCACCGCTCGCCTGCAAAGTTTTCCTTTCTCTCTTTTTGCAATATTGACAAGAGAGTCAATCAGACTGGAGGTCCATCCATCCTAGTATCCTGTTGTTTACTGTAGCCATCAGTGGGTGCTTGATGATAGCATGGAGAAAGCAGAGAGGCTACATAGAGGACTCCTGACACATCCTTCCAGCCTCCAGCAGTCACTGGTAGAAATTAATTCCCTTCATTAGAGTAGCTGTCAAAGAGTGGTGCCATTCAGTAAACCCAGAGCAGGTGCAGAATGACCTAGTCACAAAGTCTGAAAGACAGGACTAACTGCCCCACTCTGCTTGCTCAGAACCCACCTGAGCAGATTTCAGGAGCTTTTTGCCTGAGAATCAAGGATTTGACCTCTTTTCAGTTGAGACTCTCAAGTACTTTTTTCCTATTCTCTATTTTCTTCTCAACTAGCTCCAAAAAAGTTAGTACATGGTGAACAGTTGGTCCCCATCCACTCTCTCTGTGCCAGTCTTGGGTTTGTAAATCTCTGTCATGTATTCTCAGTTATTTCTCTCCTGAGCTGAGGAGTCTCATTGTATTCTGTCATTTCTTGCCCAGAACCAGCTCCAGATCAGCCTCTCTTTGGAGCACCCTGATGTAGCTGGCAGGGCATGGCCAAACATCCTCAGGTCCAGGCTATCAGCAGGCATTTCACACTCAAGTCATCCTAAAAGCAGTGTGGACACTTTGATCCCAAGTGTTAAACTAGGCAATAGAAGACAGTATGTAGGTGTCAGCTATCCCTCTACATACTCCTGTTTCAAAATTTCAAGTTCCCTGCTGTCTGTCTAAAAGAGACATTCCTTGTCACAACCTCCTCAGAGAAGGATTATTTTTTTTCTTCTGCTTTCAGCGCAAAAATGGCACACTTGGGGTCCTGTTCATGGCTGGAGCCTGAAAGTGCAGCAGTAGTAAAAGTTAATAGAACAAGAGCAGCAAGTACTACAGCGTGTAATAAACATGCCTGAGTATCTCCCTTTTCCATCAGCAGGGAGCAGACATATACGTGTGTTGGAGCCCCAAGCTGACATCCTCTGAAGAGTCTCTTGTGCTGGCAGTGTGGGAGTGGGGAAACCCCTTTGTTGAGAAATAATCCTACACATATGGTAGAAAACTTCCTTCCTCCTCTCTGACCGCAGGAACACTTCCAGCTTGTATTTCACAAATTCAGAAATCCCCATTAAATAAGGATCTGATATTTCTTGTAAGGTCATTAGCAAAAAAATTCCCATGAATTAGGAGATGAGAGGACCTTGAAAAGGTGTGGTTCATGTTCTGAGCAGGGCGTTTCTCCCTGAAACATGTGCTTAGTTTTTCTTTGCCATTTAATTGCCTCTGACACAGTAAAATCAGATCTCAGGCCAGGTCAACTTTGCAACATTACTTTTAATGTTGGAGAATGTATCGATTGTATGCAATGAGTCCTTGCTCAGTTGGACCCCAGAGATGTTCCAGTGGATGCTGCCTGTGCACAGTCAGCTTTTGGCCCCCAGATGTGAAGCAAGCCTCAGACCATTATGGATCCCAAAGGAAAATACTGCTGCAGCCACCACAACGTAGGGGCTGCTGCCTTCAGAATTGTTCCATTGCTGAAAAGGAACTAAGAGAGAGGCAGTCCATCCCTACAGCACTAGTTCCACATTGCAGACCCACAGCCTACCAGGTATCATTTTATGTACACAGACCAAAGAACTCACCAGTGGCTGTGAAACCAGAGACTTCGGAGTAACTTTCCCTCTTGTGAACTCAACCACATTTTCCTGCCTTCCAGAAGGTGTAAAACTACAGGTGTCCAGGAAAAGTCCAGAATTGCCATGACACAACAGCTAGGGACATAATGTCCCCAGGCTGAAACAGCTGCTAGTTCTGCACTGAAATCATGGGCCTACCTGGCCCTGTGACCATGAGGGAAGTCTGGAGTTTGGCTCCCTTAAACCACCTTCCCACATCAGTAAAAGCCCAGTCACAATTGTGACAGTGAGCATGACTCTGATTGCCATAACCAAAACTGCTACACTGTTCAAAACATATTCTCACCAACATAAGCTGCTTTTGAACGTGGAGGAATGTGCCTCTGCAGCTGTGCCCTTATGCAGCTACACTGATAAACCTTCCTGATTTCTACTTGCAATACAATGCAGCTTTCAGCATGTTCTTGTTTCATGCCCGGCCAGACACCAGCTTTTTCTCTGCATGGACAAGTAAAGGAAAGAGATGCTTTTGTTTCCATGGTTTGGGGAGAAGGACTTGAATTTTTTTGAGGCCACATAGAATTAGACAGCAGAGACCACATACAGATGGGTGTAATTACCCATCTTATTTCCAAAGGCATCACAGCACTTCTCTTCAGCCCTGGAGACTTATACTATCTCCACTTCCATACAGACTTCACAGAGGCCCTTCCCGTATCAATCCAAATACAGGGAGGAAAACGATTAAATGATATCCAGAGTTAGCAAGATTTCAGATTAGTTACCAGTTAGCTGTAAATGCAGCAGGAGTACCCCGATTTCCTTATTAACTCACAGCATTGCTGTGAGAGTTGATCTGCTGTCCAGCTTTTTACACACTCTGAAACAGTTACCTAGTTGTGTCTTCAAAGACTGCTTCCCGCTTGTTGATCATGTTAACTGTCAGAAGAAATTTCTGTCAAGGTAACAAATCACTGGAGATTTGTCTTTAAGGGAAACATTACCTCTTTCCTCCACTAAAAAAAAAAAAATCATACTAGTAAATACTTTTGAGTATTGTATTTCAGGTATTTGGTGCCGTCGTGGAGGTTTTGCTTGGGATAGGACATAGGAGGAATGTCTTTGAAAATGACCCCTTTCAACGGTCTACCAAAACTCTCCATGGATTTGGTGCAGTTGCAAGGGTGTAAAGGATGTACATGTTGTAGTGGCTTTTGTAGTATAAGCAAAATGTGTGCATGGGATCTATGATACCACCAGTCTTGCACAGTTCCAGCTTGCACTGCATGTATGTAGGAGCAAATTCACACAACCTCATCAACACACAGAATGCTTCCTGGGAAGTGGCACCTCAGTTTAGTTTTCTCCACTAAACTGTTTGGTGAACAGAGGAACAGTGATCTGTACAGAGAAAAGCTCCTCGCAGAGCCCAACCACCCACCTGCCAAGTTGATCTAGAAATAAGAGCGTTTCTCATTCTTTACAGAGCACCCTCTATGACTTGTTCTTTACATCCAATATTTTCCCCTGTAATTAATTTGTGATTGCAAGACCAGTAGCATTCTCACCTCAGTTCTCAGGAGATGGTTTTCTTCTAAATTTCCCTAAAAACATCCTTTATTTCTCTTTTAACTCCAAATAAGAACCAGCTAGCTTAAAAGAAACACAGAGCATAATTTAGATTAGGACATCCTATTCACAAATGTCCCTTAGGAAGTACCTGAACAGTGCCAAACCTTCTGTTGCACACTTGCAGCAGGAAAGTTCATATAAACAGGCTGCAATCCTCATTTAATTTATATTCTCATTTAATTATATACAGTCTTCGGTTGGTAAAAATCTAGCCTTTAAAACTGATAGCACATGATAAGAGTTTTCCAAAT